AAACCAGTAAAGAAAGTCTTAAAGTCGGGCGGGGCCGTCTTTATGACACCCTACACCACCAGATCATCAAAGGAACTATGGGTCTATCTCGTTTCCTTTTGCCTGTTACAAACAAATGCACAAAGACATAATACCCTGACCACCTTGTTATTAGGGTATAAATATCACAGAATCGTTTTTATACCCTACACCACAAGGTGGTCAGGGTATTGTGTCATTGTGCATTTGTTTGTAACAGGCAAAAGGAAACGAGATAGACCCATAGTTCCTTTTGATGATTTGCATACAATCACTTTCTGAGTTGATTTATGCATGTCAGTCCGTCTGTCCATGTATTTTTGTGATCAAAATGCAGGTCGCATTTATTATCCGATTGAGATGAAATTTTCCAAACAACATTTGTTTGGCCCAAGGACGAACCCTATTGAAATTGGAGATAATCGGTAAAAATTTAGATATAGCTCCCACATATATCTTCGTTCGATTTGCCTTTTATTGTGCACCAAACGTCTAATATCAGCCCGAATAGTATGGAATTTTGCACATGCAACCGAATTAGGCCTAAAAATAAGCATGCCAAATTTGATGGAAATCGGTTCAGATATAGCTATAGCTCCCATATATATTGTTCATCCGATTTGTTTTATTTGTTACCCACAGCCGTAATATGCACTCCGTAACAACGATATTCAGGGAAATATATCAAATACAGCTCAGAAATATCTTTGCCAAATTTTATCGAGATCGGTTCAGATTTGAATTTAGCTCCCATATATATCTTTATCTGATTTAGAATTAATTTTGCACCAAATGGGCAATACAAGTCCGAATTTAAAAGATACAAATGCTTCGGCGTATTTAGTCCTTTAAATTTTAAATTATAATCATAGGGTGTATGATTGAATTCTCCCATAAAAACTTTTACTTGTTATGTGGAGCTCAACTAAATTAGCAAAGTGGTGTAGGGTATCATAAAATCGGCCCCGCCCGACTTTAGGACTTTCTTTACTGGTTTTTTTTCATTCACTTATCCCCTATGTGTTCCGGGAGTCGTCTTGGTGAAAAAAGCAGGTAGTAAGTACTGGCCAGAACTGTTGTCAAGATTTTCATTTAGAACTCCTACTGGTGAAAGGTAAGTTGAGCCAGACCATGAAATATTTTGTTCAGCAGCATATATCTCATTTAAAATTCATTATTATGTACGGCTAGGTTTTCCACAAATCTCCTTTGAAGGGAGAGCATACGTGCAGAATGTTTGCGCAGGTGTAAAGGTGCTGATTTGAGAAGCGCTTGGAGGGATTCTGAAAGTTTTTTAATACACATTTTCTCAGGATTTTTCGTTCAAACATTTCAATTTCATTTGCCACTGTTGGAGAAATCGAAAACCACATTGGGAAACCATAATATATGATAAACGACCGGCTGTCATTTTGGCTTTTTTCAGGGCGGCTCTGATGAACTTAATCATTGAATTTAAAAAGTTTATTTATGTTTATTCCCAAATATTTTAAGGTGTTCCTAAAAGGGATTTCTGTTCCACCAAGCGAGAGATTCAATAGTTTGGATTCAGGCACTGCTGTTCTATGGCATTTTCCTGAAGCATTTCTAATGCAAATTGCCTCCGAGTTCGCTGCCTTTATGGATATTCCCCATGCCGTGTAATATGCTTTTATAATTTGAAGATGGTACGCTGCATTATTAAGAGCAGTAATTGGTGAGTTGTTATGACTATATATCAGACAATCATCCGCGTATAAAATAGATTTAGAATTTTCGGAAACATGTGGAAAACCAACGCTACCCTGAGGACGCTACCCTGAGGTACACCACTTTCAATTGCGCCAAATTTAGACATATAATCATTGATAACAGTAAATTTTCTGTTGTTTAAAAAACTTGAAAAATTTTGACCAAAAACGGATCCACGTTCAATTTAATTAATTTGTAAATAATGCCTTTGTGATATACAGAATCAAATATCTTCCGGATATCTAGAGAGATTGCCACTGTGCATATTTTCTCTCTTAGGTGACTCGTTATAGCATTGTGAAATTTAAGTAAGGCGTGATTTGTAGAGTGAGCTGGTTTAAATCCAAACTGTAATGGGGAAATAGGGTTAATAACAAATTCGTTTTCCAACTTTTCGTGTAACACACGTTCGAAGATTTTTCCAATGTTGAAAGTAAGGAAATAGGACGAAATTCGTCAGGATTTATGCTGCTAGGCTTTTTTTTACTGGGATAATCTTCGCCGACTTCCACGGTTCTGGAAAATATCCGTTATTCAAGCAATTATTAAAAATAATTGTTAGGAATTTAATAGCTGTATCTGGGAATTTTCTAATTACATAGTTTGATATGTCGTCTTGTCCACTTGATTTCTTCTTCTTTATACAGGCAATTTGAGGTTTGACAACGGATGTAGATGTGAAGTGATAGGTGTCCGGATTATCCAGCGAGTTAAATTCTTTATTAAATGTGTATATATGAGTAGAAGTAGGATCTAAATATGATGATATAGATTCTTCGATATCTAGCGGTGGCTCATCGGGTACGTTTTCACGGAATGTATTAACATAGTGGTTATAAAAAGCATTGACAATATCAGGACCGTGTGAAATAGTTAAATCATGTATGTGTAGTTTTTCTGCCAAAGTTCAATTAGCAATTCATTTGAAAATTAAAATGGCATTCACTTTGACATGATAACAAATGTCTTAAGCCATATTTGGAGCATGGATTTTTGTCTACTCTAGTCTGTTATAAGTTGAACCAAGTCTACAGTAATGAAATACATGCTTAATAAATAACGAGACAGAACATTTCCTAAAATTAGCCAACGAAATCGCCAACAAATCTATAAATCGCCATGTCGCCAAATTAAAAATCGCCACGTTTGGTGAGAAATCACCATATCTGACAGCCCTGTATAATGAGTCTGATCGGTTTGATTCATCCTAGTTAAGTGAGTGATATGATTTGATTAAAACAAACAAGTAAAAAAGATATAAGTTCGGCCGTGCCGAACTTTGAATAACTTTCACCGTTTGGAACGAATTTCACAATTTCCAAAAAAAAAAAAAAAAAATAAATAAATAAATAAAATTTGTTATTTAAATCTTAAAAATACCGAATATAGGGAGGTAACATGGGGTTATACCAAAATGTGGACCTGCACAGACAATATTCTCTCACAGGCTGCAGTATCCTTTACGAACTTCAAATAACAAATTTGAAACAATGAAACAGTGAATAATGTTGCTAAAATCATCAAAATATTGGGGGGTACCGTTATATGGGGGCTATGCGAAGACGTGGACCTACATGGCCCATTTTCTGTCTTATGCTGTAGTATTCATTGCGAAGTTAAAATACCAATTTTGAAACAATTCCGGTAAATAATGTAGCTACCGTTATATGGGGGCTATACGGAGACGTGGACCTACATGGCCCATTTTCAATACCAAAAATCCTGCAGAAATAATTCACATTTGAGTAAATTTTTATCGACTTACTTCATTTCGTTCGGAAGCTAGAGTGATTTCCACAGACGGATAGACGGACGGACATTGATAAATCGACATAGAATTTTATGTTGATCAAGAATATATATATTCTTTGTGGGGTCTTAAATGTATATTTCGAGGTGTTACAAACGGAATGACAAACTTAATATACTACGGTGGAGGGTATAAAAAATGTTAAAAGATTTTAACTTAAATGAGCTAGATAATTTATTTAATTTGAATGTTTATACAAACAACATTTGTTTATTAGTGTTTATGGGAATCTAGCATTCCAGCGGCTTGGCCGACATGGAGAACACAAATTTGTAGTCACTTTAGCTGAATTAAGCGACCAAGACATTCCAAATAATTACTAAAAAAACAGATACAAATATGGCAATGAAAATGGAATAATTTTATTGCATTGGGTGATATATTTTTTACATGGCATGACATTTGACCGAAACGTGGACCTATTACTTTCGTATAACAAACTTTCATCCAATGAGAACCCAAAATGAAATGTAGTGAAATACGGGATATCAAGAGGCACTGTTGTATGGGGAATGAAGCAAACAGTGGACTTTTATTGCAAATATTGTCGAAAATGCTTTTGAAACCTTCAAAATACTTTAAATCTGTCTAATAAATGGAGGCTATGCGCCATAGTGAACGAGTATTATACGACTATTTCCTGAAAAAATTTTACTGTACTGAAAATCTCAAATGTCAAATAAGGGCTAATTTGGTCGAAAAATGTAGGGAGATAAGTATCATCATAAACGAGGAACGTAGATTAATATACAAGTATGTTTAAAGTTGCAAATAGACGTCTTAAATCACAACCCATTTGACTGTAAAATCTTCCTTATATACAATAATAATAATTGAGTCTGTAATGAGCCGATGACATATTATTTTTGATAGATGTGCTAGACCTATTAAGTTTCTTAATTTGAAATTGAGCTATGTGGCTAGAGATTGGGATCAGAACATTTATATGTTTAATAAAAAAACAAAAACCTCCACATTTTTTACTCCAACACCAACAATTTGATTACAACTGCAATAACAACTTGTAAGACGTATTGTGTGTATATATTTTTAAAAATATGCGTTAAACGCTTTAACTATGGGCCAGTTAGTTTATGTATTACGAGTATACTATCAAATAAAGGTATAGACGAAAACTCTCACTAACTTTGTTCGAATTGAGTTAGCCGACCGTTCTGCGCATTTTCGAATGCCAATAAATACAGATTTTTAATAAACTAAATATAATATATTCAAAGTTTTAATTGGAAGCTATATCGTGAAACAAAACTAAACAAGAGAATCTTGAAAGTTTCCCGAAAATTATTAATAATTCAGATTTTTTGTCTATGACACTTAACCGCGGTTTTTTTTAGTGTTCCTTCGTCCATACCTTAATAATAATGTAACTTTTAATAAAGTACAGGGACAAAACTCTCATAATATTATGCAAAAAACTCACCTGGAGGTTGAGGTATGGTTCGGAGAAGTCTTCCAGCTGCATTGAATTTCAAAATCCTTTGATTGCAATAGCCATCGGCAATAAAAAACTGAAATATAACATTGTTTAGTTTAGTTTTTGTCCCTATATTGTATTCACCTGAAAAGCAAGCATATTGCGTTAAAACAAACTTTGTTACAGAGTGCTGAGATATATGTACCAATTATGGTTTAGCACAAGCCATATAGTTTTTATAACCAAGTTAAAAAGCAGTTCAGCCGGGCCGAACTTTGAATACCCTCCACCATTTGGAACGAATTTAGAAATTTAAAAAAAATAACAGCCGTTATATTGGGGTCTATACGACGTGAACCTACCTATGCATTGTTTGTCATAAGCCGTTACCATATTCAAATTAAAAACTAGAAATAAACGATGAATAATGAGCTAAAATCATCAAAATACCGAATATCGGGAGGTACCGTTATATGGGTCCAGATCTTCGTACAGCGAAGATCTGGACCTGAAAGACCATAGACAACAATCTGTCACAGGCTGTAGTATCCATTACGAACTTCAAATACCAAATTTGAAAGAATTTCGGTGAATAATGCCGCTAAAATCATCAAAATAACGAATATAGGGAGGAGGTACCGTTATGTGGGGGCTAGATGAAAACGTGGACCTACATGCTATATGAAAACCTGGACCCCATTTACGAACTTAACCTGCCTACTGGCAAAATAGATATATGTGCAAATTGGTCAAGAGATATTAAATGAAGTGTATATATGTCGCAATTATGGTCCGATCTTCACGAAATTTAAAATGGAGGTGGGGCTATGGTCAGAATAGAACCCTATTTCTTTTGGTGATGATCGCATAATATTTAGGGGTTGAAATGGACCAAAAACTGAAAAAAATCCTGATTTTGCACTTGCTCTACAGGTCGCAATTATAGACCAATCGACGCGGAATTTCGCATGTAGCTAGGGTTTAGGGCTGGCAAGAAGCCTACCTATTTGGGTGGTCATCGGATAATATTTAGCGGGTAAAATAGACAATATCTTTTTTGTTGAAAAAATTCAAAATTTTTCATTAAACCGCGAATATTTTAAATCCCGGCGAAATCACAAAGCCATGACAAGGTTACTTCTGATCTTTATATTGATGTTAACATCCAAAATATGTGCGATATATATGTTTACCAAAGAAGATATGCTTGAAAAATCTCTTATATGTCGAGAACGGCTGAACTGATTTCGACAGTTCTCATTAATTCAGAATGACCTCTTGGCAGGAAACATAAAACGTCGAAAAAAAATCGCATAAAAATATCTCTCTAAAGATGAAAATATTGATTTTGTAAAATTTTCTCATATTTTTTTAATTTTGTCATATTTTTGGCATATTTTCATTTTGATTTGAACATTTGGTAATATTTCTACAGCTAACAAAACTAAGTAGTTAGAATATCAGGATATCATATACAGATCGCATTTATGGCCCGATCCTTACGAAATTTTGCATGGAGATAAGATGAGGGTCAGAATAAAAACCTATTCTTTTTGAAGATGATCGCCATATATTTAGGGGTTGAAATGGACCAAAAAACTGCAAAATTGTCAGCAGGTCGTAATTATGGGGGTTACCGGACATTGCAAAAGCCAAGCAGTTCTGGATGGCCATCCAAAAATATTCAATGTGTGAAGGAGTTTGCCAACTTTTGTAGACAAAATACGAAAATGTCCATTCCAGTGACTTTTTGGAGAATTCACAAATACAGGAAAGACGCACTTCTGACTATTTCGTTAAGGCGGATTTCGTTGAAGAATATAGTCAAATGTCTGTATCTGATATAGATGCGTTTCAGTCAAAAACCAATAATAAATGTTAATCTTTTGCCACTTCTGAGAGATTATAGGTCTTTGGGAAATATTGGTTCCAGATCTAGGAAGACCATTTAAGTGCAACATCTACCAATAAATTGGAAATGAGCAAATTAGTTTAAGTTGCTATTATTCGAAAATTAAAGAACGAAACCTGATGGTTTTCTTTTATTATTTGTCACAATATCTTGTGGAATTCTTTCGAGTATCTTGCCTATGTAAACTGTATCGTTTATTATAGTGTTGTAGGGTATTCAACGGACGGACATACATAGCTATATCGACTCAGCTCGGCGAGATAGGAAGATCCATATATACTTTCCTATGTGGGAAATCAATATTTCGTGGTGTTTCATAATTTTTGGGCCAATCAAACTTATAATACCCCCAACACATAGTGTTGTAGGGTATAATAATTTTTCAAAAGCAATATAGTTGGAGAAAATGAACAGTCAATGAAAATGAGCAATGTGCTTGGTTTGATTTTACTAACTTCTTGTTTCCCGATTTTTATGGAACAAATCCGACACGTGCTAGTGTTTTATGCTACGAACAGCGTCATTAAAAGAAGGCGATATACATTCAAATTTTACATTTACAAATTTTATATAAAAAAAAAAAAAAAAAATATATATATATATATATATATATATATATATATATATATATATATATATATATATATATATATATATATATATATATATATATATATATATATATATATATATATATATATATAGATTTATGGAAAATCATAAATTTCATATTCATCTCAGGTTTCTGGCAATGAGAGATATATTTAGATATAGCAAGTCGTAAAGAATCTTTGACTCGTTTCACAACTTATTGCAGATAAAAGTATTGAAAATTGTGACCCTATTGTGAATGAGGTACCAGAAGGAGTTCACAGATTCGCAACAGATATTGCATTAGCAAAAATGTTTGTATGTGTGAAATCTGAATAGGGTTGAATGCTTACTTCGCTTTATTTGAGCGTTTTGTTTTACAAAACCTTGAACCCATTTTTTATACCCTCAGCCATATGGCTACAGAGGGTATATATCATTTGATACGGTCAAAACGTGCCTAGTCGAAATAACGGTTTTAGACCCTAGGTCTTTTTAGACCAAATCCGTTTCAGAACATTTGGAGTCGATCTAGCGATGTCCGTCCGTCCGTCTGGCTGGCTGGTGCGCACGATAATTCTCGAAGGGTGTATCCGATTTGGTCCAAACATGGTACGTCGGAATATTTTTTGTCAAACTTAATAATAATAATAATCCGATTTTGCTCCAAATTTGCAAATCCTAATACTTGCGTCAGTGCTCGGTAATATCGGTCCACTCCAAAGTTCGAAATTTTCAAAAAGTACATTTTTTGCACAGAAAGAGAAATGATAATCCGATTTTGCTCCAGCAAATCCTAATATTTGCGTCAGTGTTAGGTCAGGTGTGAAAATGGACAATATCGGTCCTCTCCGTCAAGTACGTCCGCCACAAATGGTCAAAACTTTAATAAATTACCACTCTCATAAAATGTGATGTAAGAGTCAGATTGTCTTCAAATTTCACACATCCCAATATTTATGTTAACCCAAGGCCTGGTGTTAAGATGGAATATATCGGTCCACTCTTTCTGGTACCACCCCCACAAAAGGTCGGAATTTTCAAAAATATATGTTTTGCACAAAAAGAGAAACGATAATCCGATTTTGCTCCAGCAAATCCTAATATCTGCGTCAGTGCTTGGCCAGGTTCAAAAATGGATAATATCGGTCCACTCCATCAAGTGCTTTCCCCACAAATGGTCAACATCTTGAATAATTATAACTCTTATAAAATGTGATGTAAGAATCCGATTGTCTTCAAATTTCACACATCCCAATATTTATATTAACCCAAGGTCCGGTGTTAAGATGGAATACATCGGTCCACTCATTCTGGTATCTCCCCAAAAAAAGGTCGAAATTTTCAAAAAAAAAAAAAAAAAAACAAAGAAATCTTTTCTGCACATAAAGGGAAACAATAATCCGATTTTGCTCCAACCTTGTAAATCCTAATATTTGCCTCAGTTCTCGGTCAGGTGCAAAAATGGATAATATCGGTCCAATCCATCAAGTGCTTCCCCCAAAAATGGTCAACATTTTGAAGAATTATAACTCTTATAAAAAGTGTTGTAAGAATCCGATTTCACACATCTTAATATTTTTGTAAATACAAAATTTGATGTTAAGATGGAATATATCGGTCCACTCCTTCTCGTACCTCCCCCACAAAAACTCGAAATTTGAATATCCATTAAGCTCATAAAACGCGAAATAAACATTCGCTTCCATTTACATTTGGGACATCTGAATATTTCCATCAACACAGGATCTGTTATAAAAGCGGTAGAGATCGGACCATTCCTTCTGGTACCTCCCCCACAAAGGATCAATTTTTTTAATAACCAACACGTTTATAAAATCCGAATAAGCATCAGGTTCTCTTCGTATTTCACACATCCCATTATTTCCACTATCAAAAGGTCTGTTGTGAAGATGGGATTTATCGGTCCACTCCTCCTTCCCCACAAAGGCTCAAAATTTTGAATATTCATGAAGCACATAAAAATCGAAATTAACATTCGATTCTATTTAGGAGGTACATCTTAATATTTCCATCAACACAAATCTGTTATAACAAGTAACAAAGTATCGGTCGGTTTTGCCGACAGATGTATAACCTCAGCCAATGTTCGATTATTTAAAAATATTTTGACTTCTGTTATGAATTTTCAAGCAAAATCTTCAAAATCTTGAACCCTATGTGGAACAGGTAGCAAAAGAAATGGTCCGATCTCTACAATCTTTATAACAGATCTTGTGCTGAAATATTGAGATTTACCATGTCTGGAATGGAATCGCATGTAGTTTTTATGAGCTTCATGGGTATTCAAAATTTTGAGTGTTTGTGGGGGAGGTATCAGAAGGAGTGGACCGATATATTCCATCTTAACACCAGACATTGGGTTAATATAAATATTGGGATATGTGAAATTTGAAGACAATCGGACTCTTACGTCACAGTGGTAATTATTTAAAATGATGACAATTTGTGGGGAAGGCACTTGATGGAGAGGACCGATATTGTCCATTTTCACACCTGACCTAACACTGACGCAAATATTAGGATTTGCTGGAACCAAATCGGTGTATCCTTGCAAAAAATGTACTTTT